ACATAGGTTTTCACTTTCCAGCTGTCCTATGACTCATATGTATGGATGTGACTCACGCAGGGAATAATCTGCAGTTCATGGAAATACAACTAGCCTTGGGTGTGATTCCTTTGAAAAGAAACAGCAATTACAATAAAAGCTCATATGAAATCTAACAACTCTATGCATAATATGATGGTCCTGCTGCTTTAAATGCCATGGTCCTGCCTAGCATATGACGGATTACACAATATGTCTCCCAATATAACCATTTTCCCTGCTCCCCTCCCAGCTACTCCCTACCCTCAATTTCTTCACAAAGAAATTGAATCCCTAATGTGCACCTCAAATATCCAGTGCTAGCTTTCCTGAATAACCAAGGGAAGTATTGGATGTGCAAAGGATGTCAGATTGGACCGTAAGTTTGGTATTGCAAACTGATGAACAAGTTCAACATTGTTTCAGCTGTGCCTAAATTAAACTGCCAAGGGAGGGGCCATAAATCAAGGGCATTAAAATATACAAGATACTTTGCTTCATCAATTTTTACATGTGAACCAGCTACGGTATGTCCCTTCTAACAGAACAACTCATGAAGCTGTAGACTTTAATTACGGTTTTGCCTCCCTTGTTTATATATACAGACCTCTTTTTAGAAAAATTGTTCTTTTCAAATACTAAAAGGCTGTGTGACCTTGGCTTTCACCAGAGGAAGTGGTGGCACCACAGTTTGTAAAGGGCTAAAAGGAGAACTGCATTTTGCAATCTGTGAAACAGTTTGCACTCATCCCAACTGTTAATTAGTTGGGTCTCCTTATTTGATTTACAAAAACAAACCCAGGATACAGTGTTGTATGGTAGGCCACAGAGACTTTGGATCATCTGCTGATAGAATAGCATCCAGATCAGACATCATCAAGGTGGAACTAATATATAGAAGTAAAACATATATAGAAGTAAAACTTACAGTGCTGACTTGCAGCAGTTTATATTATTTTGCTGTGGGACCTTTGCTTCCTAGAGCTTTTCACTGAATCTTATTTTGCATGAAGAAGATTGTGAGGAGGCTCAGTCTTGCTCATGCAAATTGGCTGCAGGAGGAACTCAGGAAGTATTAGAGCAGGCCACAAGGAACTGGGGAATTGTTGTCCCCAGTGAACACTGAGGTTTCTCATTTAGAATGTGCCTAATTTTAAATGCTCATTATTTGCTCCCCCTCTCTCACAGAGACACACCAACGCATACTGATTTCCATATCTAATGTTGCCATATTGCTTAATATTAGCTACCAATGTGGAAGCTATAAAGATCCAATTTATTTTTTTCTGCAATGGTATTATAGATCCTAAAGTTGTACCTTAAGATGCACCTTTTTACTTGAAAAATTAGGAGATGTAAACATACCTTTAATTTTTTTTCCATATTTAAGAAATATAAAATACATAGAATCAAATAAGAAATTATACTAAATTAGAAGTAAAATGGGCATGTTTAGCCTATCTCCTAGGAATAATTTAGAAAATGTTACTTTGGGGGTTAATGTATTGCCTTAAAATCTGGGGGTCTCCAAGTGCTTTACAGTGTAGGCATTGTACACTTCATCCTGGTTTATAGCAAGGGAAGATGAAATTCAGATAGAAACAGTTTCCTCATAATCAGACAGCATATTAATTAATGTTAGATGTGGGACTAGAACTCCCCTCCCGTAATGGACTTAGTGGGGCTTGAAGTAGACACTGGGACTCCCCTACACTGAGTTCCTTCAGGATCCTGCCTTGGGTCATCTTATCTAGAGAGAGACATTTCTCTGAATAGCTGTAGAAGAATAATGATTCTGCAGAAGCTATTTTGGTGCAGCTCCCCAGGTTGACAGTTTATTTCTAAAGAATTGCCCCAGTTTGGAATATAATCCCTTTTATTCTAGAGTGAAGTACCTACAGAGAGAATAATACTGAAGTAACCATCACAGAATAATAATTCTGCTATAGCTATGCTAGAAAATTTGCCTGTGTAGACAACCCCATAGTTCCTCTTCACCCTAAACTTACAAAACTACTCTATATCTTTCAATAGCTTTCCTGTTGTTAACCATCCAGTTTATCACTACCCAAACCAACTCATTCAGCTGAATCTAGTATTGTTTCAAAGTCTCCTTTCATTTGAAAAGATACGCATTTGATTGGGGCAGTATTCTACTATCTTGACACAGCCTAGAAACCCAGCTTGCAGGCTGTAATCTGACACTTATTTGTCTACAAATGACAATTTTAGCATTCTAGTCTCTGAATTAAGGTAAAAGATGTAGCAGAGATGCAGCCTATAGACTAAATGGCTGCATGCAGACGTGTGAATGTTTGGTTCCCTGAGGACATTTGTCCATGGGGAATGCCTATGCAACATGCACTCTGGCACATGGCAAGTTACCCCCGGTGGAGTAGGGGAGACTGGGGCTGGCACTGCGCTGGCCCCAGCAGCCTTACCTGGGGGCCTCCCGGGGCTGCAACAGCGGCAAGCCTGCCACACGAAGCCTGACCAGTAGTGGAGTGTGGCTCCAGCTGGCCTGGCTCCAGCTTTGGGCAGCACATGCTGCTGCCGCATGTGCTACTCCACTTTTTCCACAGGTCAAAAAAATCCTCCGCGCTGCTCACTTGCAGCATGGAGTACAGCTGAACGTGTGGTATGTGGCCAGCTGTGCTCATCTGGACATGGCCATTGAATCAGAGGTGCATAAACTTGATAGCACAAAGTGAGCTGTTGCTTTTGCTCTTGCTCATGAAAACTTATGCATCTCTGATTCAGTTAACCTATAAAGTGCATCTCTACTCTGCCTTCTACCTTACTTTAGACTAACACTGCTAACTGTCTTTCCCTGCTCATGAATTAGTTTGGCATAGTCCTTTCATCCACTAATAGTACAAGCTGCGATGCAAATATTACTGCAAAATTTCTTGATTGTAATATGGCACTTTAAATATTCGTTGCTCAGAACTGGGATTCTTTAATTGCACTTTGTAGTACAAGAGATAAAGGATAATGTGGTACCAGGATACCGATAGGTAACCTTTTCTGGCTGTGGGCCAGAACGACCCAAAATATGGTCAGAGGTGGGCAGGTGCTAGGATGCTGCCATCACCACTTATTTTGCCAGCAGCATAGGGAAAGTGTCTGTGGCCAGCACTCCTCCATACTGTGGCACAGAGAGAGTGCCCAGAGAAGACAACACCCACCACCAAAGCTCCACGTCCGTGGGCCAGGTCCAAAGGTTCCACAGTCTGAATATGGCCTGTGGGCCATAAGTTGCCAACCCAAGCTGTGAAGGAAAAAGAAAAAACTGAATTTGACAACTTTTGCTAGATGAGATGCTATGTACATCTCATTTGAGAAAAAAATCAGTGCTTATAAACTGAATGGAAAAAGAAAAAGATGCGAGTATGTAGGCACCTGCCTCAGGAGAATTTCTTAAAAGAATTTATTTGCTACTCAGTGGGCCCATCAACATGAAACATATAGGGTGGAAATGACTAATTAGCTCCACAGTAAATGTCTTAGTGTCTACATGTGCAGGGCAATTAGGCTAGAGTAAACTAATTAATCCTGCAGCAGGATAGTACTTGTAAATACAAGTACTATCCTGCTGTCAAGTTTTTTACTCCATAGCAGTGCATGTGTAAACGCTGATTAGGCTGCCTGCCAGCTAGCCCTGCACTGAAGCACCCTCATGCCCCAGCCAGTCCCTTTGCAGCACACTGAGCCAGGAAAGGAGAAATCCTGGACTAACGGGCTAATCCTTGAGCCCCCCTCTAGCTGGCTTAACATGCTACGGTCCCAGGCATACACAGGAGCAATAAACTCCATAGTTTATTATTTTACATTAATTGCACATGTAGACATACCCAGTTTGTCACTATAATTTTGGTATCTGTAAATGACACAGTTTTATATATGTTCATACAAGCATGAATGGCCCATTCTCTAGTTACTATGTCATTTTACCGACAAGATAAAACTATCCGTCAATAAAAATCAAAATTGTAGCCTGAACCGCTACTACATATCACTAATTCAGACCTAATGCCTTAGCCTATAAGAACATAAGTAATTATTTTACCAGAACAGGCCAGTGATGCATCTAACTTGTCATTCTGCCCCAAATAGAGGCTAATGTAACATTAGTTAAGGGAAAGCATAACAAGCCTGATTTCTAGTGGAATTTAGGTGGTTAAAGAGAAGATGTGCTTAATGGGATTTTCAAAATGTCTAGTCCTCTAACTCTGATTGTTGCATTAGGCACCAAGGTCCAGATCTTCAAAGATATTTAAGTACATAACTCCTTGATATCAAGTTCCTTTGACATCTGAAATAAAGGTGCCTTTGATCTCCTCAACCTTATGCATGTTTGAATATTCCATTAAGCATCTGTCGACATTGTCAGGACCCTGGGTATTTGTAGAAATTTGGCTTCAAACTCTCAGTTGTGTAATCACATTGAACTGGGAGGAGATTCCCTTCTAAGCCAAGTTGGTATTCAGTTTGATGTACCAAGGCTGATATCTTCTTACTTTATTTCCTCGATATTTTAACCAAAAAAATTATACTTATGTCTAATTCTTTTTAGAATCTCATTAAACCTATAATTACCATTCCTGAAGCAATGAGTCCCACAGATTATATGGTATTTGTTTCCCTTTATCCCTTTTAATTTGCTGACCTTTAAGTTCGGTCTGGTCTTTGTATTGTTGAATAAAGGAATAAGTTTTTGTTTTTTGTTCAAACTGAGTTATTTATTGTTTATTTATTTATGGTTATTTATGTTTTCAAGGAAAGAAAAAAAAAACTATTGAGTGGAATTTAAACCTTAAGATACAATTAAATATATAAAGAGAAACTTCACTTTTTTTTCTCATATGTTAAAAATAACTAGTTTTGTTAAAGTGGTAATATGGTCCTTTGATAGAGTAATTCAGGTAACTGAATTAAAATAGTACTGGTTACATATATCCCTTGACATACTAAAAATTCATCATGTACTTGAATTGTATAGGGGAGATAGCAGCCTGTACCAAGTACTATAGCATCACTGTCTTGCCTTGAACAAGAAATGGCTTCTTTTGGCTTGGCACATAAAATGAAGAAACTATCTGTTTCAAATGTTCTCCCCTGAAATCTTGAACACTGGTTGACACAGTTAGCAAGGAGAGTGTATTAAACCCTTCTTGTTCTCACCACTGGAATGATGAATGATTTCTATTTATTTCCGAATTCAGGGCTTGTAGTTACAAAAATGATTAGCAGTGACTTACTGTGATGATATTTTCGGTCTTTCCATCTTTAAAGAAGGTTTGAAACTGTATCCATCTAATCCTTGCAACATCGCTGTGAGGTAAGCAGTATTCTTCCAACTTACTGACGTCAAAAAAAGGAATTGACAAATCATTTTGTATATGAACTTAAGGACGCAGGGTACCTCTTTACTTCTTTGTACTTGCAAAGCCTGAGGATGGCAGTCTCCTTAGGGCTGTCATTCACTTCCTACACATATGGGCAAGCAGAAGAATGAGTGGAGTCTGACTCCATCTCACTAACTTTCTGGCCACCACAGGTGTACAGGGGGAAATAGTCTGTGCCTAGTTTAGGATACAGCACAGCTACGTTCTGTTCCTTGTGAAGGCTTGCTCCAAGTCACAATCTAGCCCCAAGTGATTAGATGACTTGCACGGTGTCACTGAGAGATGGTGTTAGCACTGGAATAGTCCCTAGGAATACTGCCCTCCAAGGTATAGATTTCGCACACTGTGGATCATATAGCATTTTCCTATGAATGCTAGGTCAAAAAATATACACACAGTGGTCTACAGAGAATTATATGTAATGTGTTATTGTGGTTTTATGCTTGAGGGCAATGGCAGGTTCAAAGAAAATGCTTATATTTAAATGGCCATTAGACCTTTTAAAACTCATGAATAAGATTTACTCTCATCTTGTCCTTTTAGTCTTTTCAGCTGACTCTAGTTGTATAATAAACCTTCATTCCATCAGTGCTACTTTTGACTATAATATTTAGGTTAAACTGTAATACCTCATTACATTAGGATGTGCAATACACAATCGACAGAGCAGTCATCTGAACTGTATAATCTGAATACAGTAAAAAGGTTAAGTGAGATGGAACAGTAATATACTCTAATTTACAATATAAGCTGAACAAGTAAAAATATTGCTCTCCTCCAATTGCCATTTCCCTCTGCTTCTGCTGTGCCTGTATGACTGGCTTGGTAAATAAGGTGAACTAAAAAATAAAAATCTTGCCTCTTGGAAGCTCATAAAATTATACTAGAAAAAAGTTTTCTGACATTTGATCCACACAGACTGCAGTCATTAGACAATTGGAACTGGTAGAATAGAGAATCCTTTCACAGAGCTGTGGATATATAGAAAGAAATAACCACTTCACATATCTCAATGCTGTTTCTAGAAATGAAAAAGGCAACATATTAAGAGTCTTTGTCACTGTCCACAGCGCCGTACATATCAGCCAGTTTTTTAAACCGAGGCCCCCAGTCACTGAGATAATCATAGTCTTGATCTCCATCCGTAGTCACCGACTCCAAGGAGCTGAGGGACTCTGCAACGGAGCCATTACCTTCATATGCGTAGGTTGCTAAAGAGTCATATGGGGGTGCAGTGGGGTCTATATCATTTTCCTTTAACCTTTGGTTAATGAAATCTCTGACATCAGTGTTATCTCGTACTGCTGCAGTCCGGCGTGGCATAAAAAGTGTTTCTGGCACGATGTCTCTGCGTAATTTATTGTCTTCTATGGCTTCAGGGTTTCTCAGTGTACCAATATCAAAAGCTTGGGTATCTTCTTCTCCGCCACCTTCATCATTGTAACTGACAATGTTGTCTCTGATGTCCTCTTTGGAAATAATCAAAGGTTCTTTCTTTCGCTGCCGCCTCAGAGCTGCAAACAACACCACTGTAACTGGAAATAAAAATAAAATAGAGGAAAGGGGGTCAAAGATAACCCATCAGTCAATTAAAGCTTGTGCTGCTTGAACTCTGAGTTTTAGGAGTCACTCCACAAAACCGCAAATTCAAATTATTGATTTTCAGATTGTACCATGTCTGCCTATGATCATGTTGGGAGTGGGATACGTATGAGGAAAAAAAGGGGATTTCAAGCTTACAGGAAGCCATTCAGTGCAGTGTTTTATCAGTAGCTGCATTTTTATCCTGAGTTATGTAGGAACTCCTCTAAAAAATAAAAAATCAGCCCCCACCCCTCAAAAAAGAAAAAGTATTGGGATATTGAGTGTTAATTATTTTGAGTACCTGAAATACTATCAGAATTGTGCTAATGGCATAGTAGATGCTGAATTATGATGAACAGTTAGCAAAGTTGCATATCAGACTTTACTTTTCCATGAAATACTTTCTGTTCCTGGATGGCAATGCAGCAGATGGGGCAAATTCTCAGTAACTGATATCAACTGTGCTAGTTCTATTGACTTCCTTGGAGCAGAAGCCAGTTTTGAATGTGTTTCTGTGATGGAAGCCTATAGAGTTATCTGAGCACAGGGAAGATGTGGTTTTGATGTAATTATTACTGGACAGTCCTGTTAACAAAAATATTCTTACAAAAGTAAACAATTGTCACTAGCTGAGGGTTTTGTTCCATATATCTAACTTTAAAGATGATTTAATCATCAAAACACGTGAGGTTTCTTAACCATTTTTTTCCTTCCCCTTAATTTTTAAGAGTGTGATGCTTTCCTTTATTTGTTGAAGGTGTTGTATTTATAGCCGAGATTCTGCCAAAAGCACTTCATTAAACATGCGCCCATGTACAGCTTCACTAATGACACTGGAGCTCCAGATGAGTAGAAGAGTTCATGCTCATAGAACTGATTTTTAGATCAGGGTCTAGGCTAACTAATAAGTAAAATACCGTTTCCTTTGGTTTCTTATCTGGATTCCAGTTATTTTTTTCTTAAAATAAATGACTATTTACCACTGAATGACATTAACAAGATCAATGTGGCGCTGTACTGTAATTATTTATACTGCAGTACTTCCTGTAAATCCCAGCAATGGATCAGGACTCCATTGTACTACACACTGTACAGGGAAAAAAAATATGTATGATGATTTATGTGACTACCTTCATAATAACTTGTTAAATACTGGTAATACATATTCTATTTTATTTTTTCACCCAAAAATGCCTTTCCAGGCCTGACCCTACAAATATTACTTGACTTTAAATGGGATGCCTTGTGGTATATTCTAGCATTTCAAAGCTTTTTTTTTTTTTGTAAAAAATCTCTTATGGCAGCCAACTTCCAAATTCTACACAGATGGAGAGTTGGATGGCTGTTGCAGTCTGCTCCTGTGCATGCAAAGTACCCATTAAAGCCGGTGACAAGTTTATGTGCCTAAAACATAGCTTTCCATAAAGTTCTTATTCTTGCAGTGTCCTTCTATTTTAATTGATAGAAGTCAGGAAACCATCTTCAGAGGTGATCTGAGATGTGATGGCTTGGTAAATGAAGTGAAGACAAATAGGAGGGTCAGTCTTGATGATGATGAATTATTCATTTTCTAGTATCTCCCTAAAGGTTTTAATCCAACTAGACGTTTTCTGTGCTTATTGTACAACCATGAAATAAAGGAAGTTCCTATCCTAGGGAGAGCTGTCAGAATCTATAGAAGGGGAGGCTGGTGTTTGAGGAAAGATGCAGATCTTTCTGGAGGAAACCCAAGAGGATCTGACAACACAGAAGCCAGTTTTGAACATGTTCCTGAGATGTGAGAGCCAATACAGTTATCTGAGCACAGAGAAGATGTGGTCTTGATGTGGACTGTCCATGGAACTGATACTGGATAGTCCTGTTAACAAAAATGTTCATATAAAAATAAATGCTAAAATGGTACTTTCATGAATAACAGCTAATATCAAGTGTGTTTTATTCAAAGGGCTTTGATTTCAATTAAAAATATAAAAATGCCGTGTTAAACTCAAACTACAGTCTTCTTATATCTACATCAACTTTTAACGCTATTTGTGAGTTTCCAAAAAGCAATCTGGACCTTCTCAGATTCTAAATTTGGGCACTATTTCCTACCACTAAACACTGAAATCAGAAAATTATACAGTATTGTTAATTGAAAATCTGCTTACACTGCATGGTGATATGAGCAATAACTGACGTAAAGTGCTACTTAGAAAAGGGAATCAGTTATTTCCAATTGACACTAAACAGGAAATCGTTTAATGTCAGATTGATATTAATGAGCACAGCTGTACTGAACTCATGCAAAATGGTTTGCCGCACTGGACTTTTTGTGGTGGTAAGTGGCTTCAACCCTTAAAGACAAAGACAACAGGCTTTAAAAGCTGACTGCAATTCCATGTGAATTGCAAGCTTCCCTGTCACTTTTGGAATTTACCCTGAGTACAGGCAGTGCGTATCTGTGCAGACCATTACCTTTTTTAATAAAAAAACTCCTGTCCAGATCTGACTGCGACATATCCCTAAGGCTAGCTAGGGACTCCCACCCTTTGTATCTACTGACGCCAGAAGGAGAGCAAGCCACATCCTTTTGAAAGGCATACTATTTGACCCAACTCGGTATGTTCTTCCAGCACAGAAGGAGGTGTATCTATTTCAGTGCTCCTCATATGCCAAAATGATGCCAATGCTAATGCAAATACCTTGCACCTGGTATGGTCATTTACATTATTCAGAATGGTAACATTCAGATCATGTTATACAAGAAGGGAATTTACAAAACACTTTTCACAAACAAGCCTATGAACTTCACTTCATCAACCTCCTGGATACAAAAAAGCATGGACTAAATATAGACATTGAATTTATGACGCATTATAACCTGCCTGACATCTGAGTCTCCAGGTATCTCTTCACTATTTACCTCCTATATTCATCCCCCTTCCGCACCTCCAACTCCCACAGCCTCTCTCTCACCCACTGACTCCTCAATTTATATCTTCACTGACTGGCTTTCTTGCCTGCATACCAGCTTCTGGCTTCTTTACTACTCATTCCGTTCAGGAAGAGAACATATCAGCTGTGGATGCTTCCTCAGCCTGACAAATGTTTTTTAAACCCAAAAGCTTGCTAAGAAAATTTTTCCAACTATTTAGTTGGTCTAATAAAAGATATGAGATTTACACAAAGAAGCCTGTCTTACATTATTCAGTCACTTTGTTGGAAGAAAAACAAATGTAGATTATTTCTCTGTTACATAACAATGAAAGAAATAAATCCCTAAAGTGTCTTTGGCATGTAATGCTTATCCTTTCTCCAATCTCTCTTCTCATAAAAGAAATACCTCTAGGTCACTTACCTAGTAATATAATGATGCAGAGGAGAATGGCAATCAAAGCTCCTGTGCTAAGTCCAGTGGGATGGATTAATGCTTCTGCATTACATGACAGCATCTTCCCCCGATGGTCACAGGCACACACTCGGATAGTCACTGTTTCTGTGCTGCTCTGGATAGGGTAGTCATTGTCTGATATTACCACAGGCAGGAGGTACATACTCATTTCATGTCGGCTATATCTGTTTTTTCGGGTGAAGATCCCTGCTGTGTTGTCTGAAAATGCAAATGGAGTGTTAAAGGACTACTAGTCCGAAAGCTGAAAACAGACAATAAACTAAAACCTTCCTAGGAATTCACCTCTATTGTCCTGTAGCGTGAAGTTTGAACTACTGGCTGCTTCAGAAGCCAGGGAGAATGAAAACTGGTGTCCACCAAACGAGTCGTCCTTATCAACAGCACTTAGGGTCTGTATCAGCTAAAACAACAACAAAATTATCTAACAACAGAAAAACAGAAAACTATAGGCCTTATTCTTATTTCCACTAAGGCCATCTACTCTAGCAGTTTGAAGAATATCTTATTTATTTAGGACAAAAAATTATTTTTTCTTCCACTTTAAGATCCAGGATGCTGCCAAAGTACCTTTAAATCAAAAGTGGGCTCTGTGTCCTGTTCACAGTGATTCTAAAAATTATGTAATTATATTAGTCCTTCAGTCTTCTAATGGAATGAAGATGTGAAAGTTTTGTCTTGAAAATCCTGTGAAATCCAAGGGGTCACACTTTGGACAGATGACATTTACATCATGAGTGTATGGAAGACTCCTAATAACAACCAGCTGCAGAAGTGAAGGGTGAGATAGTCAAAGTTGAGTTGAGTATTCATGGACACAAATCCCATTTAATAGGAAATGTGTGGCAGTATCCCCTAGAATAGCTGCTGCTTTGAACCATCAGATAACAGGACTTGAAGGACTACAGCATGGGGCTACCTTTAAGTGCTCTTAGGAAGAAATGAAGGAAATGCTGCGGTATACAGATGCAAAATCCCATACTCAAGGGAAGAGACAGGGAAGTGAATCAGGAATAACAAGACAGAGGACAAAAAGAAATTACATTTAACTATGTAAAACACAACATTGCATTAGCTACAAGAATGCTAACTATAATCAGATACGACGCAGTCACTGTTTAATTTAATTTTGTGACACTGACAGCTCGTTACAGCACGAAATATGCTTCCTGATGAAGTGGTGCAAGAATAATGCCTAAACTGAATCCATTTTTAATTTTTCCTATTATGGAGTGCAAACAATCAACGCACCTGTTCTGCCTTTGCATTTTCACAGACGAAGGTCTCGTAAAACATAGCGAACTCTGGGGCATTGTCATTTACATCCAAAACCTTAATGAACACAGGGACACGGCTGCTTTGCTTTGGGTTGTCTGTAATGATAAAAAAAGGGATAAAAATAATACACTTCCTGACTTAGTTGTGGGAAAGAAAAGGATAGATTTAAGGGCTAAGTCCTTCAACTTTTTACTGTAAGATAAAAAATATACAGTACTTCTGCAAGATGCTCTATTGACTTAAATAAGACAATGAGGTTGATCTTATGCAGACTTATGCACCTAAGTAAATTTATTCAGGTCCTGTGTGTGTGGACTACTTGTATGAGTAAGGATGACTAGAAGTGGACCCAAATTGGTAACGCACTTTGAGCATAAAAAGTTATTATCTGTTGCTGTTATTAGAGAAGCTTTCTGACCTTTTGTGGATTGATCTTTGGTTGCTGCTGCTCTAGAGCTGACACTAAATGCATCATCGAAAGAACATAAGCCCCATGTAATAAGTTACTTCTCCCAAAGAAGTTCTATGAAGTCAGAAAAAAAAAGGATGGACTAAAGTTTACTTGAAAATGTTTTGAGTTTCTACTACTTATGAAATTCAGTTTACTGCTTAAAAATAGGTAAAAGCAATTAGGAAAATTATTGTGGTTTCGAGTTGACTTCTAAAACTGAAAAAAAGACAGACTTATATTCTTTTGATGTATATAATTTAAAAATAAAACCAAAAATAGTCCCAAAACACAACTTATTTGAGTGAAAACAACATCACAACCTACAGGCTGACAATTATTTTACTGGTTTCTTTCCAGTTTCAAAATTGGCTTTAATAGGTTTGAATTACCCTCCATGTTACTATTTTTTACTGATTAGTAACAAATCATAAATTATATTCAAAGGCCAAATTATTCTAATAATAGTGGTGGATAAAAGATAACAACTGTTGAGGCTTTTATTTATTTAAAATCATTCACTGGAATAGTTTTTCTAGAGTTGGAATTTTATTTTAACTTACCATACTTAATTATTCAGAATGTATGTATAGTATAGACTAGGATAGACAAAAATTCACACAAGAATATAGATATAAATTTCATATCTGTGCAATTGGCAATATCCAAGAGTCAAACTTAAATGTGCAGTTACTACTCATATTACATGTTTTTTTGTACAAACACAAGTTTTTTTTGGGGGGGGGAGGTTTGTTTAACCAACTGTGATTCCAAAACTTCTAAAATATCAGTATAGTAAATAGGAGAACTTCCATCAAAATACATCATTTGCAGTCACAAACACATCTTTTTTAAGGATCTATCTAGCAGGAAATGTAGGCTCCAATATATTTATGCAGACTTCAAGCCTTATTGCTCTTTCTTTTCTCCCTCAGAACCATTTCCATTAATGAATAAGAGTTGACTAATTTCTCCTTGCTGTCACTTAACTGTTATTGGGCTCTCCAGCAAGAAGCAGACAGCTCCCTCTTCCTGTAAACAACCCTCCTTAGTTACGCATGTGGTTTCTGTCAAGTCACAGATGGAAATCTTAAATTTCTTCTGATCATGGCCTTGAAGTTCTTTCTGAAGTGCAAAATCCAGCCTGCCCTTTTTAATTCAAGGGTAGAGAGTTTGTTTGATTTAAAGCACTTCAAAGTTCCATTAAGAAGGTAGAATGATCAGCTGTAAATTGGAAGGTGTGGGTTCTATTTGCAATGCTACAAGTTCTCTTGGTAGAGTCACTGCTGTCCCAAGTGAAACCACAAGTATATAGATATTCAGACTTTTTCCCAATGTAAAAATAGCCACTCCAGGGCTTGGGACAGAAATTACATAAACCGGTATTAGTGATTCAAATCTGTAACACAACAAAAGTTCAGTGCTATAAACTGCTTTCAATATGCCCAAAACAGTTTAAGATAAACCTGGATAGATCTTGTATCAGACTTAACTGATTTAGGTTAAATTATTTTATTGAATTTTTGTCCCAGATCCCCTCCAGAACTCATAGTCCCCCAGCATCCCAGGATGTTCCTCCCCCATGAATCCCCTTGGGCTAGCTGTAGTCCAGACTGGCCCAGGAGGTGTGCTCTAGAGCGTGTGCCCCCCCCTCCCCAGCTTCTGGCCTGATCCACTGCAGGCATAGGGCTACATTTCCAGAATCAAAAAGTGAATGTTTGTTCACTTGCTTATTGGTTCTATCTGCAGCTTAAACTAACCTGTGAAGGTTGAATCAATACAGCCTGGAGCTTTTTGACGGTCTGTACTTAGCCCAGGAAAAAAATAACTTGGGGACAAACAGAATTCAACCACTCCTGGGAGAATTTCTTCTGGGAGACTGAATGTCTATATATGTTGTGGCTTCTCTCAGGAGGGTGCATAGTCCTCCAGCTTCACTTCTCCTCACCCTTCACTCCCAGGGAGACAATGTGTTGCTCCCCTAAGGGAGCAACTCATGCCCCCTTCACATTCTTCATATTATGCTGCAGGTAAACACAGGCTGACCATGGGCAGTCTAGGTCAGCCAGTCGGCTGCCCTATGCACTGAAGACATCTGTCACCAGGCACACTAAGGAAGCCTTCAGAGCAAGCTGAGATTTTGTGCATGAGGCTCTCCACATTGTTTTACAGTGTCAGTACTGCAACCTCTCCGCTTTTCAGGGCCTCAGCATTTGAATGTCTGTACATACAGCTCTGGGTAAGTTTTTCTACCAGGTGAAGAAACTTAGAAGAATTCTCCCAGACTATGTGACTCTGTGTGTAGCCTTTTTCTGTGACTCCAGATAAGTTACTAATATCTGATGTTTCAAAAACTTAGATATTTAGAGTATTAATTGAGATGCCAAGAGCCTGAGCCTGAAGCTGCTACCAACTTTACTTGGAGATGTGTATGTGATGTGCTTTGAAAAACAGGTCTAAAGCAAGCATCTCAAGACAAACACTGAAAAATGGAAGTGCCCCAAGTCTGAGCATGCCTATATTGTTTCCATACAGCACTTAGGACGCCATTATGAATCATGTGCTGCCACTCACTCCCTCTCCACCCTGTACCATATGTTGAAGAAATGAAATGTATCTGTTGTTAGAGTAGCACCCAGCATGAACCAGTAGACAAGTCTGAGATTGAGGACCAGAAGGTGATACTGCGTGCACTCTGTGTGAATGTCAAACAACAGTTACATTACATTAGCATGCATGGAGTGGGCATGCTGTGCTTCACTACAGTGCTCTCATGAATGGCTGGAGGTACTGAAGGCATAACCTTAGTGCTTATTTTATATAATATTTGTCAAAATTATTCTGTTTCTCAATTTTTTTTCCAGTGGATGACAATATTCACCATTGTAATATGCTTTTATTTACAAGCTTTCTGTTTTATGGTTATTATTGTTAAAGGCAGTACACTTCAGTGGTATGTGCTTTCATATTCTAATATTCAGTATTTTCTTTAGTGTAGGAAAATGAAATGCATATAAAATTTAATGGAGTGGTTCAGCATTGAGAGCAATTGCTGATTTGCTCAAGCTTGTGTGGAAGGGAGAGGGGGGTCAGAGCTAAGCTTTCATTTAGTTCAGTTTAGCCTAGCTTGGGCCAGAAAAAATATGCGTCATCTTATGACAGAAATTAGTCTGGGACAATGATACCATCCAGCCTGGAAGTGTGACTTGTGAAGAAGCTTGCTGCTATCATACAAAATTTAGCCTAGCAAAGATGGATCCTATCCTGGGCAAAGCCTTGCTTTTGACTGGAAAAATTCAGTCAAAAGGACAAATTTGCTTTAGGCAGATGATAAAGTAAACTTACCAGCTTGGAAACTCAGTCTAGACAAAGGCTTTTTTTAAATTTGAATTTACTTTAGTTGGGGATAAATTGTTATTGAGCTACTCTAAGAATTTCTGTACTGTGTAGTAATTCAGTTCCTACAGGACCTACATTTTTACAAAAGGTATATTTCCCACTTTTTCAAAATGCTTTTTAGTTCGTTTTTTTTTAAAGTTTTTTCTTATGCAGAGTATTTAAGTCTACAACAAACAACTCGGCCACAGCAGACCACCATGGGAGACCTTCAGAAGATTCAAAAGCAATATGAATGGGGGGCCCAACTGGCAAAAGTATTTTGTATCCTGCAAGATTTCTGTAAGCACTGTTTTATTTAAATTTCAGCTCATGACTATCCTTTAGTATCCTATCCCACTATGATAGTCAAGCTGTGTTATATCAGGTAATTTTCATTTTAAAAGAGGCCTGATACAGAATAAAGAAGAGAAAGAGTGGAGAATTCATTATCTTCTTTTGTATCTTAAGGGTTGAATGACCTGCTGTATATCCACACACCTTCCACATACCTATGAGAAAATAGGACCTAGAATTCTCTCATACCAAGTTTTTAAAAAGGAGTGCCCTGAGACTCTCTACCAGCATCCAAACTATTGAACATTTTTATAACAAATTACCCTAATATATCCATTGTACGATGCCACAAAATCATATCCAACCGAATATAGGGGAAGGCAAGGCCAAAGAAATTATTAGAACTGCACCCACTCATGCCAGTGTTTTCAGCATGCCTCGAAAGGAAGATGAGAGAGGTCTCTGTTGTAGTTAATATGTAATTAGAGTGGATTTTTTGTTGATGATGCCTAACTAACATAAGCCTTGTATATCTTCTGGGATATATTGCTCCTAAAACAACTAATGTCATCATCAGGCGGACTCCTAAGTGTGCTTGTAAATTAGGAAGGAAGGCAATGTTTTATTAGCCATGGCTGGGAATTTCAAAGGAGATTAAGGGAGTTAGATACCTGGATTAAGGGAGTTAAATTCCCACTGAATTTTAATTTAATTTGGGTACCTAACTCTACTTCACTGTACTTGAAAATTCCCAAGCTGCACAATAGGGTTGGATTTAGCCATTTGTGACTTGTGTGCTGTATACAACATTTTAAGTCAGCATATTGTATCCTAATTAAACAACAGCTAGGAGCATTTTTCCTGTCTGATTGATTTGGAAACACAATAGTGTCAAGTTTCTTCCTGTTTAGATATGAAAATAATCTCTTCATAAATTGTGAGCCTAGAAAAAAGAAAAACACAGACTATCTTTTTCAGTGTTTCCCCTTCTTGATTAGTATTGAGCAGGTCCATCCATATAGCCTGACATCTTACCAGCCATCCTTCACACAATCTCAGGTAGGAGGCTAAATTCATTACATCAGGGACAGTGGTGGTATTTAGGTTTGACTTACTGATCTCTGCTGCTATTATTGTAATGTTGTGCCACAGCACTGTTTCCCGGTCAAGGGGTTTTGAAGTAAATATTGAACCATTTCCAGAATTGATGTTGAATACTCTGTCCATATCAGTATGCCGATCTACAGAATACCTGAAAATACAGAGACAGTGTTTAGAAAAGAGTTTTCATTTTAATCTCTGTTTTTAAACAATTTCCTAAGACTAAACTACATACAGCTAGTAAGTCAGTTGCCTAATTTTTAGTACAGACTTTGGCATCTTGATATATTCCTACAAAGGACTCTGTTCTGCGCTGTTGAGTAATGACATATTGGAGGGTTTGATTTAGAAGGTGGGGCGCTGTTACTGAATAAATGAATTGCTGCATAATTTACATACTTTTGAGAAGCATCAAAGATTTGCCTTTTAGTGAAAAATGTGGAGTCTGCATCTTGAAAGATATGACATTTATTTTAAGGCTGAGTTGAGTTTCCCATTACAAATCCCTCTTCTCATGGTTTGATATCTCAGCTCTGCCCAATCTGTTTTGATACAAAATTTGGCAGCTCAGGTGCAATTTTTCTTTCACCCCAATGGTATTGGGTTTTAGAAAAGCAAAATAAAAAAAAAAGCACAAAACTGAGATCAGTATAGCTGATTTATCGCTCCATGGCTAATACTATGTAAAAGTGTGTTGTAGCATATTAAAGTGTAATTTAACTTGTTCTTCTCTGCTTCATAATATCTAGAGATGGATCTGAACACTAATAAGGTTTGAGGAACCTTAGAATCTAAATATGGATTTTTATTTCTTATCTGACTTCTCTCTCTCTCTTATGCTGAGCTAAATCTGAACTTTAAAGCCAAATATCTCCAATTCTTGGAAGGAGTTTTGATAACAAGATTCAAATGTGGTTCCTTAACTCTATATATTGCTAAAATAGAATTGCCACATAATAAAGATAGGGTGTAAATACTCTTCCTGTATTGAGAGAGAAGAATTAGATTCTTGCAATGGGTTTAATTGTGAGCTAACCTGCATGTCTGGAACCATACATAAGGCTTTGCTTACTCTTCTCCGTGATTTCCTTGCAGGTCATAACAATGTGGAGGAGAAGCAGTTACTGCTGCATTCTTATGCTGGAGAATTAGTAAGGAGAGGAAAAAGCAGTGTTTGGTGGAGCCCACATGCTGAGGGAAGAAAGCTGCACCAGAAAAATGACTGTGAAGATTACTTCCCTGAGAGAGCAAAAGTAAAAGGAGGAACTGACTTGATTTAATTTCTGCTCTATTCCTAGGGTAGCTTAACTAGGTGCTTGCTGCCCATTACTCAGGACATGTTCAAGGTGCCAGTCCAGCTGATGTGTGAACTTCTCATTTATCTCAGCAGAAAATCCAAACACAAAGAAAGAGCAGAATGAAAGAGTCCAGTTCAACCATGTGAGTCTGAGGGGAAAAGATGTTGCCTCATGGCTTATACTGAATCTGAAAAGCCAAAAATAGTCTGACACTCGCATGAACCTGTGTATGATTTACTATTTGGTAATTTTTTATCATGAAAAAAGATAATGTAGACCTATCTCTTGATCTGCTGTTTAATAAACATCTGATTTTTAGCTTGCCTTATCTTTTGAGTCCAAGCCAAAAACCATGCAGTGATTATTACATTCCAATTCTTGAAAAAAGGGTGAAACGGATATTTAAACGTATAGGCCAGACTAAGGTAAAAACAGCCAGCTGTAAGTAAACTAAAGCATAACCCCTCTTTCCCCTCGTTCCCTGGTGGCTGATTTGCAAGTCCATTGTATGGTTACTGTTACCTGAGCAATCACAGAAATGCCTCTTCAATTACAGGAGCAAGTTAGTGGCATAATCATACCATATTTCATGGTGTGTAAGTTGAGGGCTGAACCCCCAAAAATGTACCCTTACATTTCCATCTCAACTTATACACTGTATCAATACTTCAGCCAGACCCTGTGCCGGCATCCTACCACATGGGGTGGAGGTGTGCTGGAGGGCTCTGGGGAAGCTGGATCGGGCCCCTGGGGCCTCGGGCAGCACAAGGCCTGGGGGGCGCTGCCACTGCAGAGGGAAGGACTGACCTCCACCCCACCAGCAGCTCAGGGGCTGCCTGGCCTGCCAGCAGCTCACTGCCCAGTCACAAGAAAGGCAGACAGGCTCCGCGAAAAGCAGGATTAGGCCCTCATCACTTATGCCTTCAGTGGCTCCTGCAGCCCACAGAACGCCTGGCACTGCCTGGGAAGGGGCTGTCTTGCCTCATGGGCAGTGTGCGGGGAAGGAGTGGCAGGAGATGGCAGCAGGGATGGCATATGAGGTACTGAAAGCCCAGGCAGCACCCGCCTCCCCCCTGCCGATGCCCAACACTGCTAGCCGCCCCCCCTGCCCTGCCTGACACCCCGTGCTGGCCATGGAACAAGGCGGCCACTTCCTGGATGGTGCCAGGCACTGTGGGCTGCAGGAGCCGGATGAAGGCAGAAGCGGTGAGGGGCCCAATCATGCTTTTGGCAGAGCCAGCTTGCCTGTCCCATTGCCAGAAGATGAGCTGTCAGTGGTCTGTACACCCCATGAGCTGCAGGCGAGGCCAGTTCTTTCTCCCATGGTGGCAACACCCACTGGACCTGGTTGGGCAGGCTGCCAAGGGGCAGATGTTGCCCAAGCTTGGAAGCGCCCTATCCAACTCTCACACAAGCTTGTCTGGGCTTCCAGCACCTCACACACCTTTCCTACCACCTTCTCCTGCTGTCACAGTACCCAGCCACCTTCCTTCCACACCCCCCACCCCAGCAAGGCAGGGTCACCTTATACACAGGACCTATGAAAATCCTAATTTTTTTGAGCAGAAATATGGTGTTGACTTATAACTCGTAGACTTGTACACCGTGCAGGAGAGTGTGTAGTACGTAGTTGTAGAATTGCTTCAAACTTTTCCACTTAGCAGTTTTCCATCAGAAAAATGGAATATTGTCACAGTTCAAATGTTTTATGCAAACCCTTTGACTTACACTTGGGACCATGCTAAGTCTTTTATGTGAAATGTTTTGGAATTTCTAAGCTGTGGCAAGCTTAGATTTTTCATTCCTGGTTGGAACAAAGCCAAATTTGGAATATCAGCCTCTTCAATGAAATTGAATTTCCATTTTCCAGTCAGCTCTAGTAACACTTATGCCTTTACACAGCAAGCTATTTAGGTATGTGTCTAGCTTTAATAGTCCATTATTATATATATATATTTTATCATGTGATTGCTTATGGTTAAAATTAGGGGTTGTTGAATTGGGGAGCTAGTGCCTTGAGATGCCATGGTCATTTACTCTGGAAGAGTCTCACAATTTAGTTCTGCATGTGATGAATCACCCTTTCCTTGAGCTTTTTAAAACCTTATCACAGCTATAACATTGAAGTTTCCGTGTTAAAAATATTTATTATTTAAGAATGCAGGTTGTCATGTGTCTCTGTAAACATTAGGTCATCTGTACAGCACAAAGTTAAACTCAATAAAGCAATACAAGTGAACAGAATCTTGATGCAGTATTAATGTTGTTTTTTTCATATTCCAGAGAAAATACACACAAGGTTAGTACAGTTAAAAGCATATTCTAATTATATTATTAACCCTGGCCTAGAAGAATAATTTTAATAAGATACATTGTAATTTCTGTCTCTCCATTTATATAATCCCAAGTCTCTTTTGATCAAGACCTGCTAATTATGTTGAACTAATGGCGATTCTGACTTAATGGATAGCCTACCAAGAATTAAGCAGACAACATCAAACTCATTTTTACATTTCTTTAATGAAATTACTGGTGCATATATGTCAGTTTTCTGGACTTTATCCCTTTCCAACCCTGTGAAATGGAGAAACTAGGAAGTTATATATATATATATCTTTCTGCACAGACTATAAGAAAGAGAAGTTAATACATGCAAGTATATCGTCAGTAAAATACACAAACAAAATTAAGTCTTACATTTGCTTGAAGATCATTTTCTTTTGGGATTCTGTAGATAAATCAAATCACAGCAGGGAGGTAGTTCCAATGAATGATGAACTACATTATGCCACTGAGGAATTAACGCAGCAAAACAAGCCAACTAGAGAGTTCAAAAGGATCTAATACACAATATAATATTGCCAAAAGAAGCATAATTTTTCTTTTCTTTTTTTTTAATTTGGGAAAAGATTCAGAGATTCAAAATATTTCCTCTGTTTATATTAAATGCAAGCATTTCACAAGATTTTTTTTTCACTATCACAATTGGATAACAATTCATCACTATATTTATGTGAGCTGTTTGTTTATATTTGTTTATCTATACACCTATCAACTGTATAATGTACCCTTTCTTACTGCTGCTTTACAGTTAATAAACCTTTTCTGTAAGGTCTGGACTGAAGAAATGCAGCTTCACTGTTATGTAAGTGGTGATCAATTCACTCATGGCTATGGCAGCTATTTCAGCAAAGTCCACGTCTTAACCTTCTCCATTCATGCATTGCAATATTCAGCAGCCTGCTGTTTAATGCAACCACAAGTCAAGGAGATTTGTGGGTCAGGAAGGGACATATTTGTGAATTGTTCATAATGCAATTTCATAATGATATTGTAAAGGATTCTTTAATGGAAGATCAAAGTGACTTCCATCTACCAGAGTTAGGGCTCAGCTTATTTAAAAAGAAAAATCCCCACTCAAGAGAAGAAAAATGGAAAGTTTTCATGGTACCATTAAGTATCTAAAGATTTTATCTCTTACTGTCAAGGAAAATTGACAAGTGAATGTCATGTCATACATATACAGTAAGTGACAAGTCATACATATACGGTCTAATTGCATAATTCCCCAAGCTCAGAGTGAAAATCAGATCTAGTATTTACAAGTGTAATGGAAAAAAATCACCCTGTCAAGAAGATGTAGCCTCTACCTGTCCTCCTAATGCTGGGAGATGCCTAAGAGAGAAGCACCATAAAAGCCCATTTAAGAATCCATTTTGTTGGAGACCTACATCTCATTGGTTCCTCACTTGGCTTCCTTTCTTCCCTCTTGTTCCTTTCCCTGCTAAATCATACTAACCACTGTCGACCACTCTGTAATTTTAAGTGGTTCCCTTTAAAATTACCACTCACTGTCATATTGGAATATAATATTACCAGGACTGGATTCTCTGCTGGTATGAGATTATTTCCTTAGTATGGGTTGTGTTCCATCTGTTATGTAAGGGTGAAATCGTGAGTTGATTTACATGGCTTTGGTCAAAATACAAAATCCAATCAAATCTTTATAAAAAATACCAATTAGCTATGCCAGCGTGTTAATTAGTGTGATACAGGATACGAGCACTATTCAATACCATTCCTTCATCATACAGTTAACTGAAGAAAGATTATTTTTTTGTGGAGTGTTTGTTTTCTGGTTTTGCTTTGTCATCTTGTTCTTAGAAGAAATTGTAGTATATGGTCTATGGCAGAAAACAATTTTCATAGTTAAAATAAAGAAAAGGAAGCCATCTTGACATTAGATTATTGTAATCTGACACTAGATTATTATTTTACTCTACTTCTATTACGGTATTTGTTATTTATATTGTAATAACACTTAGGAGAGCTAGTTGATGGACCAGGACAGCACTGTGCTGTACAAGGGTGTGGTCTCTGCCAGAAGAGTTTAGTATCAGTGAAATAGCAATGAAAATATTTACCTATTTCATATGGTGGGGTATGATGTTAACACTTGTTTTCTCTAAAACACCTTGAGATACCTCAGTAGAAGATAGTTGGTGAAGAGGAAAGTATTAAAGGTAAGCTTTTATTTTATATACTCTGTTTTTTTTAACCTTCCTCTTTTTTAGCCTCATTTCTCTTTAATTTAGGCAAGCTTTCCGTGCTCCCACCCATAAATTCTATAAAATCAAGCATTACTTTATTTTTATACTGCCGATAATTTCTTACTACAGCAAGTTACTACATAGCATATTTCTCATTTCCTCTTCCTAATTGGTGGTCTGTTGTACTGCATTGATTAAAGTGATTCATTTATTCTAATTTTTTTACCTGTGCTGCTCCAAAAACCTAGAGTAATCAAACAGGGTTTTTTGTTTGTTTCTTTTGGGGGGTTTTTCTTACTATACGGGGCTTTTCTTAGAAAGATCTAGACAACACAGCAGGGTTGTTTATATTCCTGCGAGGGCTGGAAGGTCCCATCTGCCGGCCCAACC